AACATATATATACACATATATATATCTGTATACACCACACACACACACACACACACACACACTTTACATATATAAGGCATCTTCTCTTGTGATAGATTACTTCCACCAGAGATATTTCCCCACACTTGACTCCATGACGATATGGGCCTTGCAGTCAGGGTTCTCAGAATGATTTAGGATCTATCTGACACCAGTGAGCCAACTTGCTCTAATTCCCCTGATTTTAGCATAGTACCCAGACCCACAGCTGTGCCTAGTGTTTTTAAGTAGAGAGTCTCTCTGTATCAAATTCTTCAAATAGTAAACCTCTTTTCCCTGAGAGTGGAAAGTAACCAGCAGTATCCGTAGTGATACTGCCTCGGAAACCCAAGGAGGAGTCGCTATGAGTCGGGGCCAACTCAACGGCATAAAACAACAAACAACAACAACCATGTAGCAGATCAGAGAAGTCTAAACTGCTCTTATTATAGCCTTCTAACACTATTCTTGTGTTTAGTCCTACATGCAACCCTACTTTCAGAGGCATCTCCAGCCTCTATATCCTGAAATATTTCTGATTCCATTGAATAGAATAGCCTGCTTCTAAGTTTTTTCCTCCCTGTTTAAATTTCTAATTCCTTCTGTCTGTTAAGTCAATTACCCCTCATCTCTTTGCTTTCAAGCTTCCATATTGTGTAAGTGTTGTCTCATCTACTATGCCCTCTTTCCTTATGGAGGTCTTGTTCTACATTTCTGGTGAATTTAGTAGAGAATCGGGAGGAAATAAATGCATTTGTTTAATGGAAAACTTCCCAATTCACATTGTAAAGGGTATCCTAGAAGACATTATGTATTTATTTTATAATGTATATCCATTCATTGTTATACAAATCGATTGCAGACACCAAAAGACAGAAAATATTTTAAAAACAAGTTACCCCAAGAAGAGCACAAGACTCACAACTATAGACGTCAAATAATTATAGAAACATAAAGCAGATTTTGTTCAATTAAAATTCATTTATTCAATAAATACATTTGGAGTGTCTACTATGCCAAACCTAGAAAGCAACTCTTGAAAGTACTGCTGAAGTGATCTGAGAAGGGTCTGGTCTGAATTAAAGTAGTGTTAAAACAAGAGTAATTTTAAGCCAATAATAGAAATTGATTAAAGATTATTTAACACATGATTTTTAAAGTGGGGTAACATATCAGCTAAGAAGTCAATAATGTTTCAAATGTTAAAGCATTTCCTAAGATTCTTAAACTCCATCGTACTGACACTGCCATGGAAACAGGGCCAGAATAGTGTGTTTATATAATAACCAACCAAACCAAACTCACTGCTGTGGAGTCTGTAACAGCTTACCCCAAAACATAGCTTCCAGTATGACCTTGGAGTTTATGTTTCTAGAAATTGACTGCATAGAGATAATTCAAAAACCCAATACCCAGTCTTACTAAGCTACTTACTGGCTATTGTTTAATTTACAGGTGACTTTAGGAAAACAGTTTTCTCAAGGCTTAAGGTTCAAAAGATCTCAGAGCAGTGGCCTGAGTGGGTCACCTTCAACTCCATAGACTTCAGAAATCTGGATTCAAGGATAATTAAAAATGTTTCTGAATAGTAACTTAAGGAAAGACAGAAGCAGATGGATTTTTATATATAACATGTATATAAATTACATATATGTGTATATATGCATATATTATATATATAACATATATGACTATATTATATAGATTAAATATATATATATAAAGTAAGTATTTTACAAACTTTATAATCAGTTTTTTGATCTATTCCTTCTTCAAATGAAGGATAAAAATTCAATTTAAAAATGAATAAGAAGTTTAGGTAAACAGAGTGAGGACATCACTGAGCCAGCTATAGCAAGGAATTGTAGCCCTAAACTGATGCAATTGAGAGCATGCATATTAGGTGCCCCAGAAAAGGGTGAAACATGTACCTTACAGACCTATGCACATTTTCCTTTTTTTTCCCTGAGAGTACAGAAGACAACAAGTGCTCTAATTTGTCTGTGGCTAGAGGTAGAATCATTGGCTAAGAAATATAGGAGGTAACAGGACCTAAACATATTTTTTTAAAAAATAAAAAATATATCTAAAAACTAGAAGTTATAATTTGGTAATGTTTATAATTTAGTTATGAACCTACAGAACTTTAGACCTAGAACATAAAACAAATTGGGCTGTGCTTCAGAATCCCTTGAGGATCCTTTCAAATATATAGATTCCCAATCCCCACCACATGCATTCTGAACAGAATTTTCACATAAGCATATTTTTAGAAACTCTTTTTCATTGTTTAGAAACTGTTTAATTAATTCTGATGGTGTATACCAGTATCTATATGTCTTCTTTCTAGAGTTGAAGAAATTGAGGCCATAGAAACAAAACTAGTATAGATCACATTTGATAAGGGAGCGCTGATGGCATAGTGCCTAAAGCACTTGACTGCTAACCAGAAGGTTGGCAGTTCAAATCCACCAGTCACTCCTTGGAAGGCAGGTTGGGCAATCTACTTCCATAGTGATGCCACCTCAGAAACCCAAGGAGGGGTCACTATGAGTCGGAAACAACTCAACGACACAAAACAACAACATATTTGATAAAACAAGGTCTATTTCTGTTCATATATAACTTATTTCATTTTAATCAGTAGAAAATCCAAGCAGTTGTAGAAAATCATTTCAAAGATATACTTATTGATATAGTAAATAATGTAACTACTCTTATTATATGGCAAAATCAGTTTAAAAATGTCTGGTATCATTTAGTAAATTGTTTTTATGTCATCAATATTTAGTGTTGGTAGATAAAAAAAATTGCATTTTTTAAAAATTCTGAAGTGAAATGCTTAACTTACAAGAGAAGATTTTAGAAACTTACAGATGATGTCCTATCTACTTCACAACGGCTGCTCAGGATAAAACAGGCCTCAGCATCATCCATCCTGAATGCAGACAGAAAAAATCACATAATCACACACTAGGGTCCCACATATTTTCTGAAAACTAGAATTTTAATGCTTAATCTATATGTTGCATATGAAGTACCCATAAACTATGTGTCTCCTGACGCTTAAATCAAAGTTGAAGATCATAACTGTATCTGACAATGAAACTTGCTCTGTGGAAAAAAAAAAAAAAAAACTAACCATTATGTGATTTACTATAAGCTGAATAACTTATGATGGAAGTCAAAAAAGAAAAGGATGCCAAATTGTATTCTCTCGTTTATTTTTATATGTTCACAAATATGATATGATTAAATTAAAGGAGTAGTATTGGCCTTCACTTTGTGATTAATTAAAGTTTAACCAGACTATCTCAAAGAAAGAAAGAGAAAACAAAACTGTTCAGTTCAGAAATCAAGATGTCCTGCATATGCCGACTCAACAGCACATAACAACAACAACAGCAACACAAAGGATTCAGCTTTCTGTCCCAAAACCCCTCCCACATATGTATATTTTATATTTCTTAACTTTCAAGATAGAGAAAACAGTTAGTGATAACCTTTCAGGGCTTGGTAATTTTCTCAAAACATAAGAATGTTTTATTTTCAAAGTGAGTAATGATTTACCTTTCCAGTTCAGAGTTATAAAGTAAACCTTTCAAAAAAAAAAATATATATATGTATGTATATATATATATATATATGTATATATATATATACACAT